TTATAAACCCTTCCCACACTTTTATAAACCTTTCCCACACTTTAATACTTCTAATGTTCTTAACCATGTTCTAAACTTGTAAGCCCACGTAATTTTAACATAAACTGTACAGCACTGCAAAATCCCACAATATAGCACAAGATCTGTGATACTTTAGATTAATATTTTTTGAAAACCCTCAAAACGATGAGCCTGTGAAAGCTGAACCTTGAAATAGCAAGGGACTACTGTACTTTATTTTATTTTTTTTTGGGGGGTGGAACCAGGGATTGAACTCAGGCCCTTGAACTTGCCAGGTAAGCGCGTATTCTACTGAGCCATCTCCCTGGCCCCTAAAAGGCAGAAGGGTGTTTTTTTTTTTTTTGCTCCGAATGCCTTCAGGGCATGATTGGCTGGCTTGAGTTGTGGGGATCGAACCGCAGCAACCTGAGCCTGACTGCTTTGTTGAAGCAGCCACTTAAAGAACTGAGCCAAGGGGCAGGTCCCCAGGACTACTGTACTTTACATAAGACAATCAGTATGGACACTATATAAAGAACTCCTACAAAGTCATTGTAAGAAAAGCCAAAATCTTAATAGAGATAATGGGGCTAGTCACATAGAGAAAAACCAAGGAAAGAGTCTCACTTTCAAACAAAAATACAACACCCCACAGCCTGGTGAAAGACGGTTAAATCTGAAGATCTGATGTTTCAAGAGCATGCAGGGACAATGGCACATGCACCGGCATTCCTGTGCTCCAGGGTGACGGGGATGGTGGGTAGTGATTGGATTTCTTAGATTGGGTCCCCCTGAGGCTTTCAGGACATGCCTTGGGATTTTTTTTTTTTTTCCAGAGTACAGGCTGCTTTGCTCCCAGTAGTGGATATTAAAATCAATTTTCAGTGGGTTGAGATCAGCACACAAGGAAAAAGAAGATGGAGGAGAGAAAATGAAAACAGGCTATGTGCTGAGTCAGGAAGCTTCTGCTTTGTCAGCGTCCTGGGGTTCGGCCACCCAGAACACACTGGGTTGTCATCTCGACTTCCAATACTTGACCTTCGGTGGATGACTTCACAGAACTGCAAGGGCAGTCAGTATGTGTTCAGATTTTAACTCTAGGACTTTCCCAGTCTAGCAATCTTTGGCAATCCTCTCTAAATGCTGGGCAGCAGTAGCTGATGTGTAGTAGGTAAGGTACACTAAATGCATTCCTAATTTACGATATTTTCTTTTTAAATATGTCTTTTTTTTTTTAGATAAGCTCTCCTGCAGTTCAGGCTAGCCTTGAACTCACTATGTAGGCCAGGCTGTCCATAAACTCAATGATCCTCCTGCCTCAGTCTCATGAGGGCTGAGATTATAGCATACACAAGCATTCCTGGCAATTTATGCTGTTTTCAATTAACAAAGGATTTATCAGCCTGTGACCCCCTCATTAATCATGGAGCGTGTACACTTCAGTGTACAAATGAAGTAATTTGGAAGAGTCTTGAGTACAAGAAACGCTACCCCTCGCTATACGGAGCCAACCATGAGGACGTCTAGCAGTCAATTTGCACCTACAGAAGTCAGAAACAGCACATGTCTGGGCAACAGACAGCTCTGAGAACCAATCAGAGGTGTACACATGGGTGGCGCTCACAAACACACAAGATCAAGCCATGCAGTGCCCATGGCATGAGGCCACCTGTGCACGCGAGGAGACGGGTATGCCGCTGTACTGCCTCCTGGCTGTGAATCATGAGTGCCTGGGACAGGCACACCCTGGAGAGAACACGATCAGCTTCCTCAGAGCATGCAGGGAAGTGGCCAGGGCAGGCACACCCCACAATAGGCTTCTGCTTTATCTCTGTGAAAGAAAAATCTTTTCTTTTTTCCTTTTTTTCCCCTTGTATTTTAGGGAAGGCTGTACAGGGTGTTCAGGGTCTCACTACTAGATCGGACTTGTAGTGATTCTCTTGTTTACAGCCTCCCAAGTGCTGGGATTACAGGCATGCACCACCATGCCCAGTCTCAATGGCTGTCTCAGCACGCCCTGGGGGTGGGACTGGCACGGCAGGCCCAGGGATTGAAGCTCTGGCCCCTGCGCCTGCTTGCAGGTGCTTTAATCCTCCGAGCTATTTGGCTGGCCCTTGTGAAAGAAAAATCTTGAAGCCAAAATAACATCATGGTCCATGAGAGGAGAAAGCCAATGTGATAGATGGATGATTACTTAGCCTTAAAGGAGAAGGACATTCTGACATACTGCTAAGGTTTACATCCAGATGTCCCTCCCAAAGTTTCACGTGCTCATCAGCGGGGCTTTTGAGAATGCCTGGACCATAGGTATGTGATCTTGGATCATTAGTGTATGATACTGGATTATGGGCATGTGGTATTGGATTAGTCATGGCTGGTTTAGCATAGTTCTGTGTGTACACGATATTTACCAAAAAGGGAAAGATCTAATCCGGATGGCATCAACCCATGGGCCTGTTGGCTGAATGGAATGAAAAGGGAAAGGAAACTCACTGGTGTGTGTCGACCCTGCCATGGACTGTATCTCCTCTGCCATGCTGCCCTGCCTTGGAGCTGGCTGACTACAGACTGAAACCTCCACAAACTGTGAGCCAAAAACCCCTCTCCTCCTTTAACTTGGAGGTGTGAAGTATTTCATCCCAGCAACAAGAAAGTAATTAAGACACAGATGGTACAATGTCAATGGACCCTGAGGAGGAGAACGCCAAGGTGATACAGTCAGGTGTGGCTTACAGCAGGAGTCTATGCTGAGAAACTTGTTACTAGGCAAGTCTGTGATTGTGCAAACACCAACGTGTCCCGACACTGAGAAAGCCAGCGACAGCACCATACCACGATACTCTCGTGGGACCACCAGCAGATCAACACCCACTGACACCCATGTACACAAAAGTGCAAGCCAGACACAAAAGACAAATACAGTGCTGTGTGACTCCACTTATAAGCAGCCCCTGGAACAGTCTGAGTCAGAGACAGAGGGCATAGAGGTGATTTACAGGTGCTGGGCTGGGAGGCGCAGGAGCTTAGGTTTAATAGGTATAGAGTTTAGGTTTGAGAAAGGTGAAAGGTCCTGGAGATGGCAGGGATGGTGGCACAATGGTAAAATGGCACACTTCACATGTGAGATGTCACTGACTCATGGGAAGTGTCTGGGGATGTGTTACATTGTACTCTGAACTGTCTGCATTTTCAACACTTCATAGATCCTTTGCTGATGGAAGGTTTTCGCTTGATCAGGTCTTTTCACTTGCAGCATCTAGATAGCTCTGGAGGTGGGTAGCTGGCTCAGCAGGATGGGCTGCTACCCTGCAGGAGGTGGAGAGGTCTCAGTGGAGGCAGCCACTGTCCCAGGACCAGGTGACTCGTTTTGCTTGATCTTCAGTCCCACCTGCCTCTTTGGGTGCCCCTTCTGTCTCAGTTTTTACTCATTGCTAGACAAAATACCCAACACCCAAAATTAAGGAAGGAAAGGTTTATTTAGCTCACAGTTTGTGGAGGTTTCAGTCTATACTGGGCTGGCTCCCAGGCAGAGTGGCACATGGCAGAGAGCAGCAGTTCATGGCAGCAGAAAACAGCGAAGAGCAAAAGGGAAGGGCAGCAGCTGTGGCTTCCAGCCAGCCTCTCCCCCACCCCCCCTTATATTACAAGCAGGCTACCCTGGGGCTGGGGGTGTAGAACTCACACAATGTCCATGCCTTCCTCTTGCACAGGATGAGGATGTTTACAACTAAGAATCCTGGCTCAGGGCTAGGGAGATAGCTCAGTGGAATAAGTGCTTGCCTTGCAAGCGCTAGGTTCTGAGTTCGATCCCTGGTACCACACACAAACAAAAAAAATTATCATACTTCATAGTTTTAGGGCCAGGGAGATAGCTCAGTAGAATAAGCGCTTGCCTGGGCAAGCACAAGGTCCTGAGTTTAATCCCCAGTACCGGAAAAAAAAAAAGAAAAAGAAAATACCATAAGACAATGTTTTGGGGCTTGGGAGATAACTCAGTAGAATAAGTGCTTACCTTGGAAGCACAAGGTCCTGGGTTCAATCCTTAGTATTGCAAACAAAAAACAAAAAACAACAACAACAACAAGAAAACTGGCTCTCTGCTGAAGTCATTTAATGAAACTTTTAAATTTCTCAAGTTGACACAGTATATCAACCAGTACAATCCACCCCTTGTCAACTTGGCAACCAGACATTTCCTTAAACCAGTTTCCAGGTTCATAGATATGCTTATTAACATTTTACAACTTGAACTACATCAGAACCATGACATGTTACGCCACCCCCAAAGACTTATGAACATCCCTTTATGCAAAAGGCATTTTAGACCATCTCTAAGAGTTGCCCAACTCCTAACAGTTTCAGCATTGCTGAAAAGTCCAAGTCCCAAGCCTCCTCCAAGATGCAAGGCAAACTCTTAGCTGTGAGCCCCTATACCAATGAAAAGGTAAATACTTCCGACATTCAATGGCACAAGATAAACATTACCATTCCAGAAGGTACACACAGCAGGATACCAAGCATTGGGACCAAAGCATGTCCAAAATCCAGCAGGGCAAACATTAAGTCCTGTAGCTCTATGTGGAACATCCAAAGTAATCTGTAATGAGCTGTGATCTGGACCCTGGTATGGCCACTGCCTCCATTCTGGAACATGGGGCTCTGTGTCTCTCCAAAGCAAAGTCCCTTGCCCTTGCGGTCCGAGGCTGCAAAAGGCAAGGAACTGCCACTTTCTGTGATGCCCTCAGGACATCTTTTCTCTTCTTCTGTTCTTCCTGGGAAGTGGAGATCTCAGTGCTGTCTTTGCAATCCACAGCCATCCTAATACTCCCTCTCTGGCCAAACTCACAACATTTTAAATCTTCCTGCTGGGCTCTTTGTTCCTGACTCTCAACATATATCTGATTAAATGCCCCCAACAATAGCCATGCCACTGCCTCAACATTCAACTGCATTGAGATGTTTTTTGCAAGATTAACTAGTCCACTGTACTTAATCTCAGTCTCAGGCAAAATCTCTGGACAGAAGCAAAATGCAGACAAACTTTCTGGCAAGAAACAAAAATCATCCTCAGTCCAACAACCAATGCAATTCTTCTTCCCAGAAGAAACCTTCCCAACCTTGTCTTTACAGGCAGGCTTTCTTTTTTTTTTTTTTTTTTTTTCAGGCAGGCTTTCTATGAGCATTCTGGTCTTCTAAGCTCTGACCAGAATCTTCCCTACAGAAGAGCCTAAGGCATTCTAGCTGCTCACTAGGAGGCAACCTCTCCAAACCTTTTCTATCTCTTCCCATAAGCCATTCCCAAAAGCTCAATCCACATTGTCAGGTATAGTTACAGCAACAACCCCACACCTAGTACCAAAATCTGTCTGTTACTTTTTATTTCTTATTGGGACAAAATACCGACACCCCAAATTAAGGAAGGAAAGGTTTATTTTGCTCAGTTTGTGGAGGTTTCAATCTCTGTTCAGCTGGTTTCCAGACAGTGACACATGGCACAGAGCAGCAGTTCATGGCAGCAGAAAACAGCAGAGAGCAAAGGGAAGGGCAGCAGCTGCAGCTTCTAGCTAGCCCTTCTCCTCTCCTTATATTATAAACAAGCTAGCTACCCTGGGGCTGGGGGTGTAGGACTCACACAATGTCTATGCCCTCCTCTTGCACAGGATGAGGATGTTTACAAACTAAGAATCCGGCTCTTTGCTGAGTCACTTAATTAAACTTCCAAACTTCTCAAGTTGACACAATGTATCAACCAGTACACCCTCCTCTGACCCTACCTGCTCACCTTGCTCTGCTATTTCCAGTAGCCTCTCCCCAAACATAGTACCTCAGCAACTCCCCACAGCCAAGGAGCTGCCTTTCCCATCCCAGTACCTTTCCACCAACAGATTGACTGCTCCAGTCTCCCTGTCCACCAGGGACCCCAACATCAGGGTCACCTTTACAAATACAGTGGAACCTTGGTTCTCAAATGAAAGATGCATCTGGCAACCTTTCATTTTTCTTTACAAACTCGCATTGGGTGATGAACACGATCCCAGCCATCTTTTCCAGAATCATGGAGCGAACTACACTGGTGAACCAAGGCGCCATACTCAGGTCTGGACCTCGCCTCTACAGCCCCGCAATCACTTGCCCCCACCCCTCCCCGCCCAGTGCAGCCTCTCCCAAGCCCCTCCCAGCGTGGGCTGCAGAATCGACTTTGCCCCTTGATCCAGGGGTTGGAAGACTGGCTCTGCAAAGGCCAATAGCAAACACTTTCAGCTGGCCAGGCTGGAAGGCTGTTATGACCACAAAGCGCTGCCCTCAGGGTGCAGTGTTCTAGACAAGGGACCAGTGGGAGTGACTGTGAGACACTGAAATTTTATAGGCACCGAGGTTGAGCTTGACTTCCTGTAATTTTCAGATCCAGGCCAGCCTCCCCGGGGAAGCCTGTATCCACTCCTGGTGGAGAGTAATCTCTCATCTGAATCACTATGGTCCATGTTCTCTAAACACATCATGCACGGTGACATGTGACAAACAAGGTGTGAACCTCGTTAAAAACAATCACAATGCAACCTTCTATTTTATTTTTTATAATTTTATTTTAACTTAATTCTATTTTTTTTTTTACAATGCAACCTTCACATTGGAAAATGTTACTGTTTTCATTATCTGAAAAAGCTACATCCATATTCTAAGTTGGTTGTCCAGAATATTTTCAGAATTCAAGAACTCTTGGGGAATTGCAGTTAATAAGCCATACAAGAGAACAGAGCCCTGTTCCTGAGATGGGTCATCCCTATAAAAAATACAATGGGAGAGCTGGGCAGTGTAAGCACTTGCCTGACAAGTGCAAGGTCCCAAGTTCGATTCCCAGTACTGCATGTTATACTGGCCCTAAAACCAGGTGCAATGGTGTATGCCTGTAATCCCAGCACTGGGGCGGCTGACACATGCGGATCACTATGAGTCTGAGCTGTGTAGCAAGACCCTGCAGCAAATAAATAAACTAACAAATAATAAAAAACCCAGTGTGAGCTACATTTATAATTTAATTCTGACTAGCAGCCACCATTTAAAAAGGAAATAGAAACAAATGAAGGGGCTGGTGAGATGGCTCAGTGGTCTAAAGCACCTACTTAGAACAAGTTTAGCAAAGCACAGGGACCACGGTTCAATCCCCCAGCACCACATGCCAGCCAGCCCCGCCCCCTGGTGGGCTGAGCTGGCTACACACACACACACACACACACACACGAAATTAATTTCATTAATATGCCGTTTAAATCCAAGATATTCAAGATATTGTTCTTTCAGTGCATCCTCAATATGAAAAAATGATTAATGATATATTTCACCTCCGTAAAGTCTTCAAAATCTGATTTGTCACTTGCCAGCGACTCCGCCAGTGATCTGTCTCCCATTTAGTGGCTGCCGTAGCCTCTGCGGTGACCAAAGCACAGGCAGGGCCAGACAGTTCCTTTGGTTTGTGACCATAACTTAGTGAATGGCCAGACTCGGCTGCCAGCAACTCTCAGCTGCTTCCAAAAATCAAAACCATCTTCAAGTGAATATATGTTACCACCATTGAGGATAAGCAAAAGAATGTGCTGGAATTTAGGGGAGGGATCACAAAACACCCCATTTCCCATCAGATTCGAAACCTCTGCAGACTCTGGAGGTGTGTCCAACAGGTGCAGTTTTGCAAAAGAGAGAACAGGTTCCCAGCGCCTGGTAGCTCAGGAACAGAAAATCCCAGGACAGAGGCCCCCCATCTCCTGGTGCAGTGTCCCAGCTCCTCCTGGACTGGGAAATCTGGGCGCACAAGGGCCTCCCCACAGCCTCTGCAGTTCTAGAGTAACACACCTAGGAGATGTCGTTAAACATTTGATCGTTGTTCCCTATTTGTACAATCTATTTGCTGCTTTTGTGAGTCTCTTTCATGGAAATTAATCCTGTTTCCCAATCTCTGGTCTCAATCAAACTCCAAGTAGCCCTTAAACCACATAATCCAAAAATATGTTTCTATTTTCTACTATGTTGTGTCCTATCTAAAAAATGAATGAATGAATCAAAAATCCAGCCAGCAGGGCTGCGGATATAGCTCAGCGGCATAAGCCTGGCAAGCACGAGGCTCCAAGTTCGATCTCCAGTATGGGGGTCGGGGGGAGTCCAGCCAGTGCAATTGCATCCAGAGGGGTGCTAACTCACTAACTCTGTATCTCTGCACATAGATCGTCATCGACAGCCTCGGTGTTTCCAAAGGATACTTTTTGGGATTCCTGACTGCTTTCCCAGGAGAACAAACAGAAGCCCAGTGGATTTCTGCACAGAACTGGAGTTACCAGGGGTTTAACTCTGCCAGCTTACTGGAAACAGCTGAGCAGATTATCTCAGTATCAGATGAGATCTTTGTTCCTCCAGTGGATCACCTTTCAGTGTGTGCTGCCAGTGTCTCCGGTGGGGTGTTGGAAGTCTTATTTCTGTGGGAAAGCTTCTCTAGAGGAAAGATCACAATCCTCTGGCTCAGTTGTTCATGTCCCTTTCCTACTTTGCTGTGTTTCTTTTAATTGCATTATCCTTCTTTTTTTTTTCTTTTTTTTTTTTTTTTAGAACCGTGGACTGAACTCAGGCCCTTGCGCTTGCCAGGGAAGCGGATTTTCTACCTGAGCCATCTCCCCGGCCCCAGCATTATCCATTTTGAAGGACAGAAATTTTAAATGGTCACC